TGTGCTCCCCCGCCCGCTTGAGATGTGGCTGGGTCTGCCGGAAATAAACCGGCATGAGTCATAGTATCCATGAACCGCAACATACGACCCATGACATCCTGAAATCCTGGGGCAGATGTGAAATCTATCGGAGCTGGCTCTGTCATAGGCACCTCACCCTATTCCTCAATAATGGGATTCTCTGTTGGACCCACTGGCGGCATAACTGGAATAGTCCTGTGACGTCCTCGCCCCCTACCACGAGCTGGAGCCCTCCCTCGGCCTCTGCCTATGCCTCTAGCAACTGGGGGAGTAGCTCTTCCCTGGTTTGGAATCCCATTGGAGCGCGTTCTCACTATCTCTGAGAGAATAAGAGAAAAATATTTAGTACTACATCAATTGCACGATGGAATATGAAGAAAGGTAGTTTCCTAACACCCTATAGCCTATCGAAGATAAGTACAGACGTCTCTGTACCGATCCGCAAGACTCTATTAGGTCTGCTCATAACTTGTAAGACCTACGTGAACCTAGTGCTCTGATACCATGTTGTCACAATCCAATTTCATCTATAGGTTGTGATGGCACCCAACACTACAGCCAGGCAAGCCAACTAGTAATTTAAACCCTTCTTACTTGCAAGAATTAAAACAATATGAAAAGATCCGGTAAATTAAAATAACCAAGAAAAATAATTAAATCAAAATATTCTACTAGTGTGTGTTGCAAGACTCGGTGCCACGAGTGTATGAGCATCTAGTAGATTATACAAAAATTATAAATATTGTCTGGAATGAAATAGACAGAATAAAAATTCAGGAAGAGGCACTAGTTGCTGCAGAACGGCTCAGAAAGCAGCTCACCACTAAGCCTCCGGATAATGCGGGTGCGCGCCGATAGATCCAATGATAGCACCTGTCTCAGGTCCTGCACAAAAAGTGCAGCAACTGTAGCATGAGTACGTAAACAACGTGTACCCAGTAAGTATCAAGCCTAATCCCGAAGAGGTAGAGACGAGATGGCCGACTTTGACACTCACTATGGGTCAATAATAATAATTAAAATAAAATTAGAATATCAAAATCAACATGATTCACAGAGTTAACAATAATTTTTATTTAACCAGCAGAAATAATTAAATTCCTTCAAATGCAATAATTTCCAATCTGTTAATTAAATTCACAAACAGCAATTGAAATGCCAAGGTATCGTATAATAATAATAATTATTAGGCACGATTTCTACTGAGGTCGTACGACCCGTTCCAGAGTGTCGTGTATACTGCCGAGGGACGTGCCGCGCGATCCATAGATGCATCTATCCTGCCGAGGCGTTCGGTCCGCTCCACAAGAAAGGAGGACATTTTCGAATGTACCTCCGGAAGGAGAGTATATTTATTATAAGACCAATTCGAAAGGATGAACAATTTATTTTAACAATTTATAATTTAAACATAAAATTAAGCATATGAAATTTTCATCTTTTAATATTTTTCCCTAACAATTCACAATATATATATCAAATAATTTTAATTAAATAAAGAATATAATTTACACAAGTAATTCATGATTTGAGTTCTAAACTACCCGAGCTTTAGCATAGATAGTAGTTACGCACGTACTCTCGTCATCTCGTGCGTTCGTAGCCCCCACAATTAGCAATAATTATTAATTTAATCACCTATGAGGTAATTTTTCCCTCACAAGATTAGACAAGAGACTTACCTTGTCTCAAAGTCCGCTTTCCGGTTAAAATATCGCGTAAAAACCTCAATTCGGTACCAAAAAATTCGAAACTATCCAAAAGTTATATAAAATAATTAATACATGTTCAATAATTCGAAATTCATCTATTAAGTAAATTACCCTATCCAAAATGGTAAAATTCCTAAAATTCACCCCGAGCCCACGTGCCCGGATTCCGAAAATTTTCGGATGAAAACGCTACCCATAATCTCAAGAACTCAAATATATAATTTCTATCCAATTCCATAACCATTTTCGTGGAATCTCATTTTTATAAAAGTCTAGGTTTTTCATCTAAACCCTTGATTTCTAAGATTTACCGGTTATAATCTACCCATAATCTATGTATTTAACTCAAGGGGTATAGAATTAACTTACCTCCAAGTTGTTAGTTAAAATTCCCTCTCAAAAAGCTCTGAAATCACCCAAATATGGAAGAAAAATGGACAAAAATGGATTGAGCTTCGTCCGTTTTAAGGTTCTGTCCAAGCAGTTTTTTCGCAATTGCGAAGGGATTTATCGCACCTGCGGCTTCGCACCTGCGGAAGCTCCTCGCAGGTGCGCCAAAATTCCACATCTGCGGCGATGGCCTCCCCTTCCTTTTTTCGCTTCTGCACATAAACCTCGCATCTGCGAGAGTCGCACCTGCGGCTGTCCAAGAGCAGGTGCGAACGTACCAGAAGCAGAAGGCTTCACCTCTTCTTCAAAATTCCAAAATTGATTCGAGCCTCGTCCGGTTAGCATTCGGGCCATCCCGGGGACCCGCCCGAACATACCAACAGGTTTGAAATCATAAAACGGACTTGCTCGAACTCTCGGAACGTATAAAACAACATTAAATCTAAGAATCATACTCCAAACCAAATTGATTCAACTTAGAAATTTCAAATTCTTCAAACGTACTCCGAACGCGCCGAAATACACTTATACTACTTAGAATGATACCAAAATTTGTGTGCAAGTCTTAAATTACTATACGGAGCTATTCCCAGACTCAGAATTTCAAACGAAACTCGATTACTCCAAAAACTATTCCAAACCAAATTTAAACCTTTAAATAGTTGATTTTCACTATTAAGCGCTAAAACGCTCTCAGGTTATCCAAAACCCGATTTGAACATACTCTCAAGTCCGAAATCATCATACGAACCTATTGGAACCGTCAAATCCTGATTACGGGGTCGTTTCCTCAAAATATTGACCGAAGTCAAACTTGGCCTTTTAAAGCCAAACTAAAGAACCAATTGTTCCGATTTCAACCCGATCACTTCCAAATTCTGACCAACCATCTTCGCAAGTCATAAATTATTAAAAAAATATTCGGAAAGTTTTATTTAGGGGAACGGGCTTCTAAAAGTCAAAATGACCGGTTGAGTTATTACACATATCATCCTACGTTCGAGAAATACGCCGCTATAGCCCTCGAATTACGGATAACAAATCAGAAGGAAGAATCAAAGGATAAATATAGTTGTAACCCGCAATGTTTATCAATAAAATCCTTTTTTTTAATAGTTGTTTGTTATTACATTTCTATTTTTCTGCGCAAAATTATTGCAAATAGACACCAATGATAATAAGTCGTATAAAGAAAGTATATTTATTTTCAAGCAAGTTGTGCTATATTCGACTTGAACTTAGTATGACTCGCATATGTTCCCAGTTTATTTCTATCTTAAGTTTTATTCTAATGTTCGATTTAACTTGCATAAAAGTATAATCTCATCCTATTTATCCATTGACAATCATAAATTTTGATCATTTCTTCCTGTTTCGTGCACCAGTTTTAGCTCTGTATGATTTCCTAGGACGCCATAGTAACTTTTAGAATCCCTACAATCAAGGGGGGAAATCAGAAATAGCCTAATTTACAACTGGTAATTAAAAAATAGCCACAGTTTCTAATCGAAATTTAGACACTTTTTCATGTAAAGATAAAATCTGAACAAAAACACAGTTCGAATTTTTCACATATGAGATTCCAACATATTGTAATGGAGTTCCAACATAATATGCTGGAAGTTTATACGCAGGAGCTCCACAATCCAGCATATTATGCTGGAATTTTCCGTGTTTCAGCTAAAATAGTAGTTATTTTTCAATGACTTTACGAACGCTGACTATTTTTCGATTACCGGTTTGAAAACTGGCTAGCTCATGTTATTTTTAACATGATGGTGAAGAGAAGGTTATTTCTTAGGTTCATGGCCCAGCCCAATCAATTTACATAGTCCATTACAATTTCTGGACCAGCTCTAGGTCATAAATTGTGGGCTAAACATAGGTAGTTCTTTGCCTAGTTGGCCCATTGGAGGTTTCAATTTCATATCTTTAAAGTCCTACTTTTCTTTCTGCCTTACAGTACGAGTAACAGAGTATCTTATAAACATAAAATAACGCAAACAAATAATATTCTATGAAATTCTTTGACGTTAAAAATCNATATATATATAAGGTTTACAAATTAATGGGTTGAGTCAACTTAAACTTAGACAAGATGGATCAATTAAAAAAAAGATCATGACCCAACCTGCTCAAAGTTTGGTTGAATGAAAATGAGCTAGGTCAGAATATGTTAAATGACGGGTCATAATTAACATGAATTGAGTTTCCTCTTTTTTATGTTACTTTTGGAAAAAATATTATTTTAAAAGAAGAAGTTAAACTAATGTATTTTTCTAAAATTATTAGCTTAATTCTTTCTAATTTACATAATTTCTAATATCCAAAATTTGATTTATTATGTTTATTTGTGTTGCATTTTGACACGTTGCTTACGTTATTTGATCTGTTTTGGTATAATAATTTGATGAGTCATTTCAAGTTCAACTGGAAATGAATAAACTGGTTTTTAAACTGGAAATATTTGTCACCTCTACCGTGTTTTTTTTATTCACTGTTTTGTTATTTAGTTGTCTTATTACGTAGGGTATGTTACAAATATACATACAAGTTGAGTAAAGTATGAAGACGTGATTTTAAAAGCTCTATAGAAGGTCAATTATAAGTCTAAACTTCTAGAAACAGCGTTGAAAACTTCCTGTATTCAAATATATGCTGCCATGCTGGAGCTATGCAAGAAAGGAAAGAAGAAGGAAATACTCAAATTACTCAAAGCCACCAGCTTTGATTTTTCCCTTATTTTCCCAGTCAAAGTTGTCAAGATTAATTCCTTTTTTCTATCAATACAGAATTTAAATCTTCAATGCCGAGAAAGATAAAATTTAATTATATGTATATATTGACTACCCACAAGAAGAAAAATCAAAGGAATTAGTTCATTGTTTGATCCGCTTAATTAGTTTCTGTCTTTCCTTCAAATTTCTGATTTCAACCCGCCGGCCCGCCCCCTTTCAATTCTTCCAAGAGTTAGGATATTTTGTGAGCTCTTTCCTGTGCTTTATCAACGCATTCTATCGGCGACGGAGTTACATGGTTCGAAAGGGATTTATTTGAACCAATTTGCAATGAAATGGTTCTAAGGCATTGGCTCAAAAATTGCTTTAGGTCGCAGATACTAATCCCAAGTATAGTATTCTTGTATTTTTTCTGAACTGCCACTGCAGTTTGAGGTTTTCCTAACTTGTTCTATCCATGGGGGAGTGGGTAATTGCAGCCATTATCAATTTATTAGGAAGCATTATCATTAACTTTGGAACCAACCTCCTTAAATTAGGCCACGATGAGAGAAAAAGGCATTCTATGAATGTAAAGCCTACGATGAATAAGCCCATTATATACTTCCAAACATGGAGAGTTGGTATTCTATTCTTTGCAATAGGAAATTGTCTCAATTTCATTTCATTTGGATATGCTGCTCAATCACTTCTAGCAGCTTTGGGATCTATACAATTTGTCTCTAACATCGTTTTCGCCTACTTTCTTTCGAACAAAACAGTGACAATCAAAATAGTGTTAGCCACTGCTTTTATTGTTGTTGGTAACATATTCCTTGTAGCCTTTGGCAACCACCAGTCCCCTGTTTATATGCCAGAGCAATTGGCTGAAAATTACACAAACACTACATTTCTTCTTTACTGTTTCACTTTGGTATTGGTTGTTGTATTACATCATTCAATTTACAAGAGAGGAGAAGGGCAAATGCTGGTTCCATTTTCATATGCAGTTGTTTCAGGTGCTATTGGATCATGTTCAGTATTGTTTGCTAAGTCTCTTTCAAACATGTTAAGATTGTCAATGTCAACAAGTGGTGGTTATGCAATATTGCAAAACAGGTTCACGTATTCGATGCTTCTGATGTTTCTAAGTACAGGTGGATTTTGGATGGCGAGGTTAAACGAAGGACTTTCGCGCTTTGATGCTATACTTATTGTCCCTATGTTTCAAATAGCTTGGACTTTTTTCTCCATTTGTACTGGTTTTGTCTACTTTGAGGAATACAAGGTGTTTGATGCTTTGAGAACAACAATGTTCATTCTTGGAATGATTTCTGTGTTTGTTGGCATTTATTTGCTAGCACCTGAAGATGATGAATCATATTCAAAAGGAGGTGAAATACTGAAGGATGACAAGAGGCTGTTCATGCCATCTCAAGACACCCAAATTAAGGATATAGAGATCATTTGGACAAGTTTTGGTGATGAAAACTGCTAATATGATTGGAGCAATTTCTCATTTGAAGACAATTGTGTCACGTAGGCGCAACCACGATTTCATCGTGATGTGTTCTCAATTTTAGAACGACGATTTTAAGGGTTCTTAATTTAATATTTGTACATATTTAATGAATTTTTCAATACAAATACATTATTTGAACAAAAGCTACGGGGTTTGGCCGAACGCGTAGACGGGCTTCTAGCTCTGCCCCCGGATGGTGGGACAATTTTGGAGGCAACTGCAATGCTGCACCAGGGTATCAACTTAGACTATGAGGAGGGTGACATTAGTTTGTGGTGACGGACATGAGAATGCTTGGCACGAGCAAGAAGGGCTTAATTGAATACGTTTCGCAGTAAAATTATATCTTATATATAAGATAAGTACAATTTTTTTGTATATATTGAAATTTTTAAGATTTCATAAACTTTAGAGTTCTAAATAGAAATTTTCATTCCAATCCGTTTGTCTTTAAATTCTTTCATTTTCAAATTATTTAGTTGTTCTTCCATACTATGAAAAACTACAAAATTCAATATGTTTATAGGATTCTCCTAGTGTAAGGAATTAAGTGTTTGATTCCAACCTATAGAGAGGCGTATTCATAATTGAATCATAGTATTTGAGTATTAAATAATAACAACAACAATACCAACAACACTTTAAAAAAGGACATAAATTTTTTTTCTAACAAAATATTCTAAGTCCTTCGTGTTATCATATTTATAGTTAAAAAAAATATGTCAAATAAGATTCGAAAACTATACTTGTTCAAATGTTAAGAAGTATTGTATATTTTAGAGATTTTAACATCAAAATACTTATATGAAGTGTGTTATATAAAATTTAGGTTTCATATGTAGGCACCCTTCCGAAAAAGTTTGACCACTATCAAATTATAAGGGCAAGTTGAAGGTTAAGGTAGTAATTAGGTGGTTTAGAATTTATTGTAACAAGCAATTATAAATTAGGACTAGTACTTATAAACAAATTTGAATGCAAGTTTTTAAAAAGAAGTACTAGTGAAAAGACTATTTTCAGTAGTTCATTACTCCTAAAACAGTTTAAAATGTGGTATTTTTTGGTGTTTTGTTTGATTCTGGTATTTGGAACTAGATGTCCAAAGTCAGGGTTTTTAAAGATACTGTACATATTTTATAGTACTTGATAAATAAAATTATTTAGTTACAAATAAAAATGGTATTTTTATCCTTGTATGAAATTGTGTTACTCCTTAAAATTGGAAGATGGGGAGAAACCATAATTCAATAATAATCCACTTCTGAATCAAATCTTTTTATCGGCTTCTTCATCAAAAAATTAAGAGGTAGAAAAATATATGGGAATTATGTTTAACGATCCCCCTTTCTTGGAGAAAAAGCAAAGTTCAATATTTTTTCCTCAACATTTGCGTTTGCCCTAGATTTACTTTAGACAAGGTCTATAGATTTTGTCAAAAAGGCCCCTCCATTTCAGCTTAATACCTAATTAGACCCCCCGAAAAAGTAAAGTGAAAGGGCTTCCACAAAATTTTCCCTAGAGTAAGCCTCTGCTACTTCTTCCGCCATTAACTCGTAACTAGAAGCTTCCACTGCAAGCTTGAAAAAAGCTTGTACCTTTGTGGGTGTTTCTGTTCATATTAAAATAAAAAACCCATCTTTTTATTCACTTCAGTAACTAGGGTTTTTCTAGGATTTAACAATCCAGTGTACTGAAATGGTCAGCTCTAATGCTCTTCGTATTGCTCACCGGATTGCTCGCTGCACCTTTTCTTCTGGATCTTTATTAAAGGGAGGTTGTAGGAGATATAATACAGCAGTGTACAATCAAACAAGGGGCTTGTTTTATTTGAATTCTAATAATGGTATGTGTAAATTTGACCTTTTGTTGTGTTATTTGAATGAATTATAGCCGCGGATGCATAAAGTTTATTTCTTTTCTGTTTTGAATTTGATTTTTTTTTTCTTCTATTGTGTGAGTTATAGGGGGCAGTGAAAGGAGGGATTGGTTAAGACCTGGATTATTCAAAGCCAATTTTGGTGCCACAAGATCAATTCATGGAACAGGTACCAATTACCCATGCCCCGTTTAATGATTGTGATGAATTATCTGTTTTTTGTTATTCTATGTGGAAAATATATTAAATGTGAATACATAATTCATCTGTCGAATGTCATAAAAAATTTGGGAAATTTATGGATTCTATATTGGAGTTCTTGTTTAAAAATGCTGAACTGATGGGTAAAATCTTTCTGTATGCTGCTCTTCCTATGCTAATTAGACCAGATAAAAAAAATACCTTTCATCTCCTTCATGTTCCGTTGTGCCATTTGATAGTATTTATTGCCAACGGCCATTTGATAGTATTGATTGTGGCAATCTAGCTATAATTTCTTACTGGAGGTTTTTAGTGTAATTTCTAGGGGCTAGTTTCATTTAGTTGAATCAGTTGTTAACTTGCTGTGTTTTGACTCTTATTCCATTTTAATCAAAATCTTTTTGCCTCTAAAGCCGGATGAGTACACACTATGCAGTATGCACATTCATAGAGGCTGGTAAAACAGAATGTAGAAACTATCATACTTCCACCGTGTTTCTCGGTGTCTTTTATAGATTGCAAGCTGCTACTTATTCCAAGAAGAGGAAGAAAAGCGGTATAGAAGCTCTAGCTAGCAGGCGGACAATCTTGTATACCCCTCCAACACAGATAGATAGGTGTATTGATGGATAGATAGATATTATAGAGAGAGAGACAGAGAGACAAAAGCTTGTTTATAATTGAAGTTAGTAAGCTGATAGGAGAGGTGGGATATAGTTTGAATTTATTTTTATCATCCCCTATGGTGCATTCTGAGAAAATGGAGGTGAGGTGAAGCTCAATGACATTTACTGGTTCCTTCCTTTAAATCAAAGAATCTTTTTTTTATTGTTTTCCTTTTTCTCCCCCTAAAAGGGACCAGCCAGTGTTACCTGAGCTCTGTTATTATGTTCTAGTAGGTGAATTATTCTTTCTAAAGAAATTAGTAAGTGAATTGTTGAAGTAACAAAATCCTGGCTTTGAGGATTTTTCATATAGGCATGCTTTCAGTATCTTGGTTACTTAGCCCCTGGGATGTGCTAAAGGGTTACATCTTCTTCTGTTAATGACATCTATCTGACTCATATATCCATGTGAACTGAATATCTATGTATCTAGAAGCAGATAACAATTGTATAAAAAAACATAAACATCCATTATACTTGAAAAAACAAAAAATTATCATCCACTGTGAAATGTTTTGCGTATTGGTAAAAGTGGTATTCAAAAATTACACTTTGATGTTCATCTTGGAAATTTTGGTGGTAATCATGGGAAAATGGGTAATGAAGGTATTTGTTAGAATTATCTTTTGATTCTCTGGTATTTATTTTCCTATCACATTGCAGATGAATTTTGAGTTTAGTCACTAACATATAATCCCCACCCTCTTCCCTGCTTAATGTCTGATTAGCCACGAGTATGAAAGATTTTTATGAGGTGCTTGGCGTCAATCGAAATGCAACTGCATCTGAAATCAAGAAAGCTTATTATGGGGTATGTTTGTTATCCCCTTCTTCGTTGGTTGATCTTGTCCTTTAGGGGTCGTTTGGTATGCGGACTAAATTATCCCGGGATTATAATCCCAGAACTAATTTATACCATATGGGAGGTGGGATACAATAATCGCATGTTTGATGGGATAAGGTGGGATAAGATGAGATATCTTGGATTAAGTCTGGGATTAAATTTATACCGTGTTTGGTTTATACCGCCAACCAAACACGGTATAAATTTAATCCGACATCTTATCCCTTGTACCAAACAACCCCTTAAGGTTTGTAATTGTAGAACTTTATTGACTTACTACTCGAGTAGGAGTTTGTAATAACTCAAGTAGCAATTTGCAATTATTTTTTCCAAAGGAGTTGGTATTACCTTATCTCTGCTATTGGTGAATGGTGACACATTGTGTTATACTTCAGCTTGCAAAGCGACTGCATCCAGATATGAACAAAGATGATCCAGATGCTGAAAAAAAGTTTCAGGAAGTTCAAAAGGCTTATGAGGTACTTGTCACTTTGGAAAACTTTTTTGCTCTATATAAGGTTGTTTTTGAAGTCAGTACTGTACGGAATTTTGTATCAAAAATTGTTTATTTCGATGTTGCAGGTTCTGAAGGATGATAAAGCACGTGAACAATATGATCAGGTTTGACATGTGTTACTTTGCACTTAAACCTGACAGACATTTACTTCAATATTTCTTGTTATTTGCATATTAGGGGTTTATTTTGCCTAGAAGCATTCAAGATTTTGAATATAATTTCTCTTGAATGAGAAGCATTCTGATGCATTGCTCATTATGCAGCTTGGGCATGATGCATTTAATAGTATGAACAATGGTGGAGGTGGAGGTGCTGGGTTTGATCCGTTTGGTGGCTTCAGAAGTCCATTTGAAGACATGTTTAGAAATGCTGATGTAAGAACTAGATTCAGGTTCTAATTAATCTACATAGTCTTCGAAAATTGCAATCGTGATATTCTGGATATTTGAATTTTTTGATAGCTGTCTGCTGAGCATTGAATTCTGCTAATTTGCGTATGATGTTCCGCCTCTTCATAAATTTGGTTGTTGAGCTAGATCCTGAGTGGTTGTGCTTTCCCCTATATGAGAGGTAATCTGGTGTACAACCATGACTCTCTGTTCTCTCTTCCACAGATACCAAGAGATTATAGGTTGAGTTTTTGCGAAACAGTGTCACAGACGGCATTAGAGAGTATGCACATAATTGCCAAAAATCTGAATTATTTTCCTCCTTCCCTTGGTTCTCTGAAGATAATGTTTGTGAAGAAGTACTTTTTTTTTTGCAGCTAATTAAGTACTAATTAATATCAATATTGGAAGCTAAAAAATCAAAAGTAGTTGACTTCATTGTTACCTGTCGAGTTTCCTTAAGCTTCAAATATATATTTTCCCCGGTACATCTTTACCTTACCTTATCGGAAAAGGGGAAAAAAACTTTACTATATACATCCCGTTCCTTTGTGGGAAATAGATCCATAGGAATGATGTAGGGAAAGGTGCTACGAAAGCAGATGGCAGCCCAGTGCACAAGGCATGCTTTAATATTTCTCCTTAATCTCTTAGGCATCACTTTTATGGTCTTTTTCTATGCATCATGACTCTTCCAGCTTAAAGTCTTTTTGTTCTGAATCTGATGCAAAATTAGGTGAATGTACTATCGGTACCTACTTTGTTATGCCCGTTTCTTTTTCTTTCTTAATTTCAATCCTTGAGATCTAACCTTTTTCTGTTCCT